AATTCATTATAATCCACGTTTAAGATATTCATTTCAATTATATCTGGCGTCTTTGTTACTGACTAAAAGTGCCTAAATCAACAATATTTCTTTATAGCATTACTATTAAAATTTCATCTTAACACCAGGCATGAATCCAACTATTCATATTAGAATGTCTGAAGTCCTTTTGTGGGGCAATGTAAATGCATTCTTTTGTTTCAAGATTCAAAGACTCATTTTCGTCGCTCCCACCGCAATGTGCGCTTAAAATTATTTTGCCAGTTTTGAGTCGTAAATTTTACCAAGACTTTAATTGTTATTTTAACTGCAAGCTAAACTTCGTGTTCGCGATGGCGGGGCCATGAAAATATGTCTTAATTCGCACACCCTATGACTTATGTTTTATTGAAATTAAACCGTTTTGTCTTAAAACCGTGTTTTTCATAGATAAGCTATTTTAGGACAGGTAATAAATTTTCAGTTTTGTCTCATTTATTTTAAATTGTACAAAAGATGAAATATTTCTGAATCACATTTTTGATTTGAAAGCAATCAAAATAAGTCTCAGAGGAGTCGTTGTATTAAATAAGTCGGCATTCGCTTCGAGGAGACTCTGTGCAACAACTCTCAAAAGGGGTCACATTCGAAATTTAAATATTATTGTTATTTTTACTGAGTGCATTGAAATTGAAGAGAAATAGAATGTTCTTCTCGCGACCCTACCTAACCCGGGAATAACATTGACTCCCAGTCGGTAAAGAATAAAACACTTCAGTACCGAAAACGCTTTTAGATCGCTTATGATTATCAGCTAATTACTCACCATCAAAACATTATTAAATTGCGTAATCAAAATTGATCCTTTTGTTTATGGGTCTCGATCCTTTCAATCATCTATCGACCATTGAGTTTCGATATCATAATAATTGTCCATAATTATATATTCCCTTCAACGAAGCGCATCATTTTTATTGTTATTTTATTTATAAAGTAATAATTTTTTCGTCGGACGCAACTCGATCAAGTTTTAAATTTGATTGATCCGATATAAAGATCGATTTAATAATCGAGTGTTCCGCTTATGTTTTGGTTTTCTCTTGTTTTTTATCGATAAACGTTTTCATTGGATCGATTTGGTGCCTTCTTAGTGTCTGTCTTCCAATGATTTATTAGTCGCTAATTTTAATGTAGTTACCTAATGGTTTTTATTTCATTGGAATTAAACTCCATTTTTATTTTAATAACACAGTCAGTAATGGGTTGCTATCAAGCCATGTATCAAAGTAAACCGATAGTTTATATGAAGCAGTTTGTTCTAAATTATAAAACAATATACCTAGACATAGACGAGTACGCAAGGACCACCGGGAGCTCCTTTTGTTAAGGCTCTTCTACTCTCAAATCGCAAGATGCTAAGATACGCGGCATACCGACGCGGGCCCTTAATGGCCATCCCTCGACAAAGGTAATTTACGTCTCATGTGCGAAACCACTCTTAACTAAAAGCCCCTTAAATTACAGCATACCCTGGGATTGATTCGAAATTAATCTCGCATCCGATGCGGTCTCGAGATGGGCGTTTTTTGTTATTAAAAACTGTTACAGAAATAGTTGCCAGGCATTTTTTGACACATCGAAGAAAAAGAAACACCTTCCCTGTAAGAGGAGAGTTTTAACGGTTTAATAAGATACCGCTATTTTACAATTGATTTATGATATAAAATACTTAAAACAATAGTACTGCAAAGAGAAGACAAACTTGAAACAAACCCTATACCAAAACGTCTGGCCAGCATAGTACAGTACGCCAAAACCTCCATTCTAAGGAGAGGCCTATGTCCAACAGTGGAATGTTAAATCTCTTCCGCTGTGTCACATATTATAGGCTATATATTATATATTTCATTATGTTAATTGTGTTTTCATTGTGTTCGATAACCTAAGTTTAGTTTGAATTTAGACAACGCTGCGTAAAGTTTCAGAATATTATAGTATATTTTAGATAACACTGTATAATGTAGACATTTAAATATTAAAAACATTATAGATTTGCATATACCATAATATTATCCTATCAACATTACTAACCAGCGATGAGAAAGGCAATGTTTCAATTTACGAGATCACAATCCGAGATAGCTATTGTGCGATATTCATACATATATCTCGTGAGCTTATTATAACAGCAAGCACAAGTTAACTTGTCTCGTGTTATCGGAGATTTTTGTGGGCTGATAGTCCGCCTGCACCGACCGGGATACCTCTTCGTTCTCTGGCTCGTATGTTCGTATCATTGTAGATTGGTATCGGTAGTCACCAGGTTCTTTTTGACGCTTTTATAGGTACTCGTAATTGGCTTTATATGTGTTTCACTGATTACTACGATCCGGTTTATACCCTAAAGCGACCGCATGTTTAGAACAGTTGTACGAGTATCATAAGAACAATATACAGCACTAACTTTGAATTTGTTTAAACCTAGTTAGATGTTAGATATATGTCAATGTATTGATGTTATGTATTGTAACTGAACTCAGAGATTGTGTTTAAGTAAATATTAGAAAGTAAATAATAGTAATCTTAATGTGCCGCAAGGCAGTGTTTTAGGTCCACTCCATTTCTTAATATGTGACTTGTATATTCCTTTAATAATTTATCATTATACAACACTAGAATCGCTTCAGTGCACATAAACATTAAAACTAATGCGCCTTTATCAATTCAGTCGGAATAAAATAACGCTATCTGCATAGATTATTATCGTGGATATAGCAGAAACAGCAGTTGTAACGTAATAGTCTATATTACGTTACATCGAATAATTAAAACGCTAACGGAATTATTAAGCGATACTGAGCTCGTTCTATTGAACAAGATAGTTGCGGAACATACCAATATTGCTGTAGACGTCTTAAATTGTTTACACTCAGTATTTATTCAAATGTTGTCAATATATATCCTAACGATTAATGCTTATTACACATTCTCTGTACTAGTACATAGAGTATAGCTGCTTCTGCGGTAGCGTATTGACTATGGTAATTATGGTAAAAACCTTCAGACAGAAATGTGAAGCAAAAATATTTTTGACAGACTCTCTTTAACTCTAAATGTTTTAGGCGGAAATATAAAATGCCGCCTCTTGCTGGAAAATAACAATGTTTTAAAAATTACAATTTTGAGTGGACAGTGAAAATGATGGATAATAATTTTGTGTTGTATTATATTTTAGGCGTATGTATTATTGAGTATCTATTATGCTATGACAACTTTTCATGTTTTTGATCGCATGCTGGATATATAGTTTGTTAGTTAACGAGGAAAAACTTTTATTAGTGATACTATTTGTGTATGTTGCTAAGTTATAAAATAATTGTATCCCTGTTGTTTCTCAATAAATAAATAAAAAAAGAGCACAGTTTGGACCATTTTAGGCATTATTTGGGCGTACTTCACACTTAAACTCAGATCACATTGAAACAAATAAAAAAAAACAGAACAACAAACAGGTGACAAAATATTTGTAATATGTAAAAAATTATGATCAGCACTGTTAATAAATAGTATACTTCCATACTTCCAAAAGTTTCAATACATCAAAATCTATTCTTATCTAAGATTTGTTAATACATGCGTATTTTAAAATTAAACCTTTCAAACAATGCAATGCAGTAACCGTAGGTGCTAACAACACAAGTTAATCAGCGGGATCCCCTTACGACCTCCATTAGATAGACGCAGCTTAGGTACCTAATTGAATAAGGGACCAAATTAAACTGTGAACGGGCATGACCTCTTTCTATTCAAATTCGACTACTCAGACGACTTTACATACGTATAGCGGAATATTAGGACCTTATCGATAGTGAGATTAACCTGATTGAAAGCGTGGGGTCCAATATGCTGCCTTGTATTAGCCAGTGTAGTTTACGATACTGCTTAAATAAATATTAAGGTGGGTAAGTTTTATTAGAAGGCATTATTGCTATAGTTGGTAATATAAAACATTATTCCGTTCCTTTAAGTATTACATATGGCATTGTATTACTTGGAATGTGATAAGAACATGATTATGTTCCGTACTTATGTGACAGTGTCACCTGCAACTAATTAGATAATTGTCGTAATAGAATTTATTGCGGCGAGTGTATGATTGCAATTCGTTTATCTTAGAATTTGAGTCATCGGAGTCGGAGTCATCGGGTTCTAGTGGGTATGTCTGCTCTACGACTTCGCCTTCATGTTACCCTATTTTCGATTCCGTCAAATATTTACCGCAGTAATTATATTAAAAATAAGTAAATAATTACCACTCTTCATCGATCTTGAGCATTACAGTTTCTTGGCCATAGAAATACAACATAAAATAGTTTTGTCTACTTAAAAATTATACAATATTTATTACAGATCAAACTATATAGACAATATACTCTTTTTATATTGACCGATTTAGTAAAAAAATTGCTTTATGGTTTCTTTGTAAAATAAATTAATAACATAATAAAATAAAATATTACAGTAATGTAGTTGTTGTTTGTTCTCCAAAATCGTCTTAAACAACAATAACTTCAATTCATCTCAATTGTAACTATAACTCGAACGCATTTAGATGTTTATCTAATACACGCAAATCGGAAGTTACTCCTTTAATCATTTCCGTCAGGTTAGATCTAATTGAAAGTTATGCAAATCTCTCAATTCGACTCCTTCACAATAGTACCGGGATTCCGAATGATTTAATCCGTGTTTATGCTCCTAATCGGCCCCTTGCTGAAGGCCTTGTTACCGGTTTAGCTCACTGTTAAATTTATACAATGCCTTTTGTGTACAATGAACCATTTATTTAAGTTAAGCGTTGTTTATGCCAACATTTTCTTTTATTGGAATATCTCTTATTGAAGTTTACAACATTGTTGCTAACAATAAATTCTTATCAAATTAAATAATGAATTCTCAGAACCTAAGAAACTAATTATTTAAATTGACCTTTATTGCTAACAGCGTTTATTTTTTTACAGCTGAACTGAAAATGGATGTACTGCGAGAACGAGAAGTCAAAGACAACTTAGAGAGGCAACTTCTTGATGAGCAGAAAATGAGAGGTAAGTGGCAAATTAATAAGAATCACTCGAAACTCGACTTGGTGGGGTCGATAGTATATTATCTTGCAAAACATATCATCAAACATATAAGAAAATACTTAGCGGTTCCATATACAACAAATAAAGCTCAATTTGCACTCGTTCATAAATCACGGATGAATGGACCGCTTCACATCGGCTACAATTAACAGGAGATCTTGTTACCAGACCATTGTCTTCCTCCTCGGCACGTTATTTATTTCCAACATTAAAATTATTATTTTCTCATATAACACGTTGGTGCCTTACGTTGCCCATTTTCTTTCCGTGCCACCGACCCATCGGCTCCTCTTCTATAATTGTCTATACTGTAATCTATTGTAGGTGTTTAATTGATACCGTTTTTATAAGTCTCTTCACACGTTATAACCTCACGACGTCTCTTATTGTTAATACTATCTATTTGTTTCTATACTTTCCCAAGCCCTGGTGGCGTGTTACAACGTTTACATCAATTTATAGGTTCATTGATAGTTTTATGGGTCCCTTTGACGTCTACGTAATCACCATAATTATGCTATTTATAAAGACAATTTTGCTTCGCTACATTGAGGTCTTAAATTTATTTGCAGCATAAACGCTTATTGCTGTAGGTCAACGTTACCATAGTTGGAAAATATACAAAGCCATAATCATTCTTTGTTTGTAGTGTATTTACATTTTTACATTCTATAGAGAATTCTATAAACCGTATCATTTAAAATCTATTATTGAACACGGGGATATTCTAGAATCGGAGCTAACAAACGTAAAGGTTAATCTGCACAAAACAATACCACCCTTTTCTCACTGGTATAACATTGTATCAGCCAATAAAAAGAAAACAGACAGAATGGAGGTAACCTTTGTACAAATGTCAAGCGACATGGCAACGGTGAACTGACGCCTTGAGACAAAGGGTTTAATTCTATTGAAGTCAAAATGATGAGCCATATTGAGCTTTACAGTTTAAATGATAACGCATTAATTCCCTCCCCTTCATCAGCGTTAAGAACTATTTTACATGTCACAGACGACATAAAGGTGGCGTAGATATTTTATCAAGGTAGACATTTCGCTTGTGTAAATGTAATATAAATTTAAATGTTAATAAAGGGACGACAGGTCACAGCAAGCTTGCCGTTGCTTATAATGAAAATAATTATTGCTTTTGAAGTATGCGTTATAATTATACGATCGCTAACTATACACTACAAAATTACGTCTAATAGTTTATTATAATGTTCTTAAAGCCGAGTGAGTACCATACTATACTAACACAATATAAATTGTAGTGTTTTTATTTGACGTGGAATCGCTGCTAATGGCTTCCCTAGACTTTTTGGTGATCTTCGATCTCGGTTTAAAAGCTTTTTGACAACTTCTGTGGTCGTGCTATAATACCTTTATCCATAGCCCTTCCGGTTCTTTAACTAGTGTTTGTATCTATATTTAACACAGTAGAGTTTATTGTCCTGTTTATTTATTTATAAACATACATAACAAACTTATTTTTACCGCTTTGTTAGCCGATAATCGTCACTGTGACCCAGTAGTAGTTACTGTGTGCGATAATTGCAATCTATAAAAACTAAACTTAAACAATGGTGCTAATTCTGTTGTTCAAAAAGTCTCTAAGCTGAACTAAAAATCACAAAAAATTAGTTTAGTCCTGTTAAATAACGTTTCGTATTCTGAAAACGTAGTATTTGACAGGACTAAACAAATGTTTAGTGATTTTTAGTTTAGAGAGTTCTTGAACAACAGAATTAGCACGACTGAGAACATTGTTTGCATTGTTTTCTGTGACAGAACTTTTCTTGTTCATACATTATTTTTATAACTATATGTCAAAATGAATGTACAAGATTGAATATATTGGCTATAGGTATAAGTAAGTGAACGGGGCAACAAAGAGGCAAATGGAGGCTCCATACATAATTCACATGGTGAATGAACTCGATTCCGACGTGAGCAATACTGTTAATTGCCAAAAACCAATCATCAGATAGCGTTATACGCGTCGACGCTGTGAAATACAACTTTAGTTACAAAAGCTCGTGTAACCAATACTGAACCACTGGTTCTGAGGTAAAATGTAACTTTATTGTAGTCAATCACTTAATATGCGGATTTTTTTATGCGAATATTTATTCGATGGCCATTAACTTTACTATTGATGAAATTACAGGGAGAGCAAAAACAAAAGAACCGTGTCAAAAAGATCGATAACGGCAGTTAACTGGCCGATCGCTGATGTCGATTGATCGGATTACAATATTCTCATAATCCTTACTTCACATAACCGAACAATTAAGAGATTTTTTATTGCATTAATATATATACATACACTTACGTCTCTAATTTTGACAGAGGGGCCAAACCAAATCCAAGATGGCAGATTGGGAGTTTCTTGCCGAGTTTGGCAATATAAATGGGTCAAATGAAAGAATTGGGTTTCTCAATTTTGTTTGGAAATGTATAGAAAGAAAGCTATTAAAACATAAGAAATATACAAGAAAAATAAAATCGATTGGATAGAATATTGGACAGACATGGATTTTGTTTTATATTTTTTCTTGTTTTTAAATTTTTTAATACTCAATTTTCATTTGTTGCTAAATATATTATTAGTTTATGAGGTCTAAAGTAACCTGTGTGCTAGCTATTACGATCTCATAATAATCAATCAGGGTAGTAGATCGCGATCCACCATGAAAATTGGAATAGAGCCGACGAGCCTAATCAACCTCCGCGGACCGCGTTAATTCATAATACTCGTATACATTGTGTTGAATAATCCAGTATCGCATGAGAATCGAACGCTTTTGTAATTGACTGAAATTCTATATAAATGTTGTCTGTTAATCTTTCTATTGAAAACTACCATTCACTTGTTACTTTAGAATCAAGATTTTTAATAAGTTAATTAACTTTTTGCTTAATCTTTTTTCCTGAAATGCTTTTCATTATATATTCGATTAAAGCTGTCGCCACAGTATGTAACAATTTATGTTTGATAGGCATATCCTGTTCAATTTCTTCTGATAGTTTCTCAGTTGATAAATGAATCTTACATTGTCATTTTGATTTATTCATTTATAATTAAGTTGGACTGTACAATTCCCGTAAGAGACACCCTTGAGGGTGTGTGCTCCTTCATTACCGAGGATGTTATGGGAGTTTGAAGGGAGATCGGCAAGGCTACCATAGTTTTCGCCCTATGATTTTGAGACGTTCCGGTCATGATTTAACCTTTTAGAAACAGGCACGTAATTGAAATATTGTTTAATAATATTTTCTATGAAACTATTAAGGATTTACTACATATCTAGGTCTCATCCTTTTATTTTAAGAAATATATATTTGCTATATTCTGTTTTCTCTCATAAAATTAGTAAATAATGATACGAACACCAAAACATGTAGGTGCTAATCTTTTTTTTTGTTTACAAGAGACTTTCTCAAAAAATCAAAAGCATAACTGACCGATTATAAAGCGATTACTTTGGCTTTTAAATTTTCAATACATGTATTAATTGATCTGTGTATTTAATATGAGAAATAATACTGATCCATATGATTCTTTTGTAAATTGGTAGTTATTATATACTTCTCTGCTATATTTTTTATTAATTTATATATTTAATTATTGTATTTCAAGTCAAAAACGTGAAAATAAAACACAAATAAATTTGATGAAAACATACATACATTTTTAATGATGAAAACCTAGAAAGGTTCTTATATTTTGGATTTTTCTGTATAGTGTAAATGATATTTTATAATATTATCTTATTTATGAATCCGGTCCTGTAGTCTCCCTATTCATACATTTAAGACAAGAAACGGAGTCGGTATAATTCTCATTGTGTTCAAGATTGCGTAATTAAATAACATGTAGGCCTCAACATTACGGGCGTCTTGAAAGGGTTCGCAATGGAAATGTTACGCCAATTATGTGTACATTATGTTCGGAATGGAGGGTTATCGATGCTTGCTATAGATCCTCCTTGAATTTGCGGAATGCGATATTATATCATTAGAAAACACTTCCTCGTAGGCTGTCTATGTTTCTAATATTGTATGCTATATAGCTTGAATATATGCGTCTCCAAATTTAAAATGAATTGAATTAAATCACTGCTTAGACTAAGCCCCCGTTACGCCTTTTATTGTGCTGTATTTATAGTGAGTATATTACTAGGGCAATAGATTGGTTCCACCCCTTCCCGACGTATTCACGAATATACTGAAGGTATATAAAAACAGATGACCAAAATAATTTCTTGCTGGTTTTAATCTTTATCACTAAAAATGATTTAAAGTTATAGAACTAAAAATACTCGCTTTAATATCGAGCCACGTGGTTACATAATCAGACCGTCGCGTCGTTGTCAAAAAATCAATCTTATAAACTCAAATTCAAGGTATTAACTAGTAGCCTCTGAAGAGTTCTCCTACACACAAAGATCCAAACTACATTGTACATAATCATCATCATCAACAGCCTTTAATAGTCGACTGGTGGACACAAGCCTCTCCTTGAAAAGGAGGTTTGACATTGTAAATACAAAGTTTCATTTGGATGCGATAATTAAACATTGATTAAATTCTCTTCTAAGTTTTTTACATCATCATTTCATATGCCTCTGCTGAACATAGGCCTGTCCTTAGAAATTGAGCAACCCGACAGTTACTTTTCTTTTAGCATAGGTATTGTTTAAATTTATTTTTGTAAATATAATCCATTCATCTTTCGTCAAAACCTTTCGTAGTTTAGTGAAATCCAGTTTCAGTATGGTACATTAATGACAGTCCGTCATGACAGGCCCTGCCCCAGCAAACATTATCATTGGCAGACAGTCGAGTGATCAAATTCAAATGAAATCGTTTAACCGGCGGACAATCGTATCAACATACGTCAGTAGTCAGTGCAATCTATCGAATGGCGCCCACCCTAACCATAATTGTGTTAGTTT